AAGTCCAGACCAGAACACCCCTTCTATCACACCACCATCAACTAATATTAAAGAACCCATTCGGAAGGGTCGTCGGTGAAGACTTCTCACAATGGAAACAAGAACAAATGTTGGAGTTTTTTTCTCATAACATGTTGGAGTTGTTTTCTCATTGGTCCCTTAACCCTAAAAGGGCCGGGGCATATATATTGCAATAAAAAGAAAATCAGGGTCGCCCCCTCAACTTTTACCGCGATACCCTTACATAAAAACAATTTCCCGACCCGAGCTTTCCTGACTTTTTAGCCTCGAATCTTGCGCATCTTTGATACCAAAAACATAAAATTCCCTCAGCGATTTTTTTTATCGGCGCTACGCGCCGTGAAAACTGAATGTCCACATAATGTAGTGTACACAAAGCAGAATTACCATTGGTGCATATGAATAATTAATTACACATAATTCCAAAACCCTTGACATATAGTCATGAAATGTTTTGGGTATGTATATATTAAGTTGTTATATGCATGTACGGAGTTTCAATTTGTTCGTCACTCGATGGCCGAGAATCACCCCCCCCCCCCCCCGGCTGTGAGATGGTAATAATATTAACCCGGCCCCTTTTATAGGGTTAAGTACTATATCAAGTCAAATGTATCGCTGACATGTATCTATTAGAATATCTCTATATATTTTGTTAATTTTGCACGTCATGTCAAACAGTTAGCTTAAAACGTAAACCATAATCTGCTGGGGGAGATTACCAGGATCTTTTATTAAATATTTTGTTGTAATGTGTATGCGCATGGCACTGTGGTTTCAACAAAATTAATACATTATGTGGAGTACACCCACGTCGCCAAGACTAGACGTGAAAAAAGTGGGACATGAACGAAGTACATGTAGGACCCGGTTGAAAGAATCTAGGCCGATGCTGAATTGCTCAACCAAATTGGCAGAATGAAAATCTTTTTGTGTCTATTATTAGCTTCAATGGTTCTGTATTGGGAGTACTGCAGTTACACACTGCTGGTTTTCCTATCGTGGTTTACACAAAGACGAACCGAAATTGGTTCTCGACAACTTGTTAGGGCTCAATTTAACGTGAAAAAAAATGTCAATTTCCGACGATTGCACACTTTTTTGTAAAACCATCAGTTTGGAAGAAATTATGCACCCGATGCGAATTGTATAGTACATTGTGTGTATAAAGTAACACCGTCCCCCCCCCCTCCCTGTTTGTTTGCTGGAAACTATCACTAAAGTTACAAGTGTACATGTGTTGTATGTGTGTTTAATCACAAAGAAATTAAGTCCCAAATCAGATGTGTATTCCTTCGTATATCTCTGAAAATGTAACATGTGCATTTGAACGATAACTTTTGGTGTCACGTTGCATACATTTGTAAAATTTGTTGCATGTACTAATACCAGGTGTGTCTTTTTTTAGGATTAGGAATTTGTAATGCCGTAAGGTTTAGTGATGGTGGTAATAGTGGTATATATGTATGTACATGTACTGGAACCTTTCACCGGTGTTGTTATTATAAAATATAAATATAACTCTATAAAAACAAAGTTGCATGGAATTTATCAAAAGATATCTCAAAAGTTAGCTTGAATTACATGTACATTGTACATGCAAAGTCAATAGTCAGAAGTTATAGAAATGTAATTTTCAGATGAAGAAGTGGGCATATGGCTTTCAATTTTGAAATGAAAGTGCTGTAAATTTAGTTCATTCGAACAGAAGGTTCAAATTGTTTATTTGTTTTTGATCCAAGTTTAGGCCTAATCAGCTTGCTAAAATACATCACATTGGAAGGGACCAGACTAAATCTAAAATACCCATTTTCAAGTAATATGTTACTTGATTTGGAGAAGACTACTAAATCACGATTTCTACCCCCAAAATAGTTAGCAAATGTTATCGTCAATTGTGCATTTTCCCCTCTTATGTGTCTTATGTGATATCATAGTCTGTTTAACGAGAATAACACCTATAGGATCTGTGTACTGAATCAGCCTATACTACGAAAGCCCTGTAGTGCTATCAAGTATATATTTTGTCCAAGTTCGTTTTTATGAGATATATTTTTCCCAAAGTTCGTTTTTATGAGATACATTTTTCCCAAAGTTCGTTTTTATGAGATACATTTTTCCCAAAGTTCGTTTTTATGAGATACATTTTGTCGAAGTTCGTTTTTATGAGATACATTTTCTCGAAGTTCGTTTTTATGAGATACATTTTGTCGAAGTTCGTTTTTATGAGATACATTTTGTCGAAGTTCGTTTTTATGAGATACATTTTCTCGAAGTTCGTTTTTATGAGATACATTTTCTCGAAGTTCGTTTTTATGAAATACATTTTCTCGAAGTTCGTTTTTATGAGATACATTTTCTCGAAGTTCGTTTTTATGAGATACATTTTCTCGAAGTTCGTTTTTATGAGATACATTTTACGAAGTTACGGAGTTTTATGAAGTTACGGAGCCCCTAAAGTGACATCCAAAATTATTTTTTTATCTCGTGCGCACGACATAATATCTATTGCGCACGAGATTATTATCACGTGCGCACGACATATATCTCGCGCGCACGACATATATCTCGCGCGCACGACATATATCTCGTGCGCACGAGATAATAATAAGTATTAACGGAGCTTGCTGCACGTGCAGCGGACGAGTTTGTGTGTAACGAAAGCAGCGTGTCAGTTACGGAGCCCCTAAAGGGACATCCAAAATATTTTTTTTACCTCGTGCGCACGACATAATATCTCGTGCGCACGACATAATATCTCGTGCGCACGACATATTTCTCGTGCGCATGAGATAATTATGTCGTGCGCACGAGATATATGTCGTGCGCACGAGATAATTATGTCGTGCGCACGAGATATATCTCGTGCGCACGAGATAATTATGTCGTGCGCACGAGATATTATGTCGTGCGCACGACATAAGAAAATAATTTTGGATGTTCCTTTAGGGGCTCCGTAACTTCATAAAACTCCGTAACTCCGTAAAATATATCTCATAAAAACGAACTTCGAGAAAATGTATCTCATAAAAACGAACTTCAAGAAAATGTATCTCATAAAAACGAACTTCGAGAAAATGTATCTCATAAAAACGAACTTCGAGAAAATGTATCTCATAAAAACGAACTTCAAGAAAATGTATCTCATAAAAACGAACTTCGAGAAAATGTATCTCATAAAACGAACTTCGAGAAAATGTATCTCATAAAAACGAACTTCGACAAAATGTATCTCATAAAAACGAACTTCGACAAAACGTATCTCGTAAAAACGAACTTTGAGAAAAATGTATCTCATAAAAACGAACTTCGACAAAATGTGTCTCATAAAAACGAACTTTGGGAAAAATATATCTCATAAAAACGAACTTGGACAAAATATATACTTGATGGCACTACAGGGCTTTCGTACTATACAAGTGAACTAGTCATGCATTTACTTCAGAGACGGAGGCAGGCCCCATACACGGTACTTGTATGGCCTCTGCTTTTAGAGGTTACGTCGCCTCTGGTAACCGGCAACAAAGATTAACCCTGGGGCCACTGCGTCGAATTCAGTTATTCCGTTCACCGCGCTATAGTTGGTTGTGCTGTACACAACATCCAAAAACTGGAGTGCAACGGGCTTGACATGTTTTCGTCGTTTAGTCATTCGATCTGATCTACAAATTAAAAGTTTAATTTCGACTGGCAAATTAAACTTGAAACGCAACTGATCTTAAAACTGAACACTTGAACGGCTCGCAAAGTATTCCACAATTACTTACCCTTCTAGATTTGTACGCTAATCCCTAAAAATCATCAAACGGGGGAAGGAACACAAACCCTTCCTCCATGATAAGTCTAGTGAAGCTGGTCAAGGTAGTAATTTGAGTCAATCTTTTAGGCCAAAGTGAGACTTAAGCAAGTCTAATTCACAAGTGAACCAGTCAATCAGGGAGTCAGTTAGTCAGTCAGTCAGTGACGGGTACCAGCGAAAGGCTGGCCCTCATGGGACCAACAACAACTCGAGATGTAGGCCAATATAGAACATATGGAAATCTTCGGCTGTACGTGGGATTTGCTGATATGGCCTTTTAAAAAATCTCCATTCAGAAAATTGTTTGGCAACTTGCAGTAGCAAACAAAATCAAGTGATTCAAACTCATCTTTTCATTTTATAATCCTTACCTTTTCCCCTTGTGAAGATGTCACCGAGTTTCATGCGACAACAGTTTCACAGGGCCAGGGTCACTACTCCAATCACTGTAGGCAATACGCTGTCACTCTCCATGCACCGTGTGTGACAACTGTACGGGGATTTCAGAAACTGAAAATAAAAAACAACAAAACTCCGATGTAAAAGTGAAAGCGCCCACCTGCCGAGCAAGGACATAAAAGCGCCCCGGTGCTCGAGAATAGAGCGCCCGCTGTCAGCTCTTTAGCACAGAGTGTTGGCGACCTCTAATTCCTATGATCTCTCATTGGACAGATTGTTGTAAACTTCAGTGTGTTCATGACGCATGCGTACGGAGTAGGTCCTTAGTCTGGTTCCCTGACCTGACAATTTCCCGACGCTCTGACGTCTAAATTGTAGGTCAGGTAACCGCCACAGGGCTAAAAATAAACATGATGACCCTTTTGCAAAGCTCGGCTCCGTTTCCGGTTTGGCTTTATCATAAAACGCTTTTAATGTTCCGATCGAATTTATAAAAATCCCTTGCTTCATATGAAATAAAGTTTTATTTTCTGTAAGAAAACATTGACTAATGTTGAGCTGGAATCTTCAAAGTTAGGGCATATGGCAGGCAACGCCAAAATGGAGACGAAGCCGAGTTTTGCAACCGTCGTCAGATTCAGAATAGTACATGACGCAGCAAAGCTCGCCCCTCGTACGACCTGAGTGTGTACGCGATGCATAAAGTCGTCATAAAATTTCAATGATTCTAAATACAAACAGTGAACATTAATTATTAACTCATTTGTATTTTTTAATAAGCATGGCAGGTAAATAAATCCAATTTTATACTCGGAAATACCCGGGCGCGATCCGAGATTGTCGACGAAATGTAATCGGCAAATCATTTTGACATTTTCGGAAATGAGAGATATTCCTCCTGTTTTGGTCAATATATATATTTTAGCGGTTACCTGACCTAATATTCATCAGATATAGTCAGAATCTTTTGGTCTGGGAACCAGACTAAATACGCCAAAATCCGAAATTCAGGAAAAAAATTACTCACAACTCTCCAAGGGGTTAGAGAAACACATCAAATTAAAGCTTATTTCATCATCTTTCATTTTCTTTTCAATTTTTTGGGTTTAATCTGTGACTTTTGGGAGAAAATTCCATCCAAAGATAGTCACCCCTAGAAATCGTCCCGTAGCCCATCGGCATGTTGAAATATGATGCCTCCGCTCCATTGCAAAATGTAGCAATTTTAGGGTCCAATTTCATCCAAATTTCACATTAAGAAATACGACTTCGGAGTCCTAGTACACGGCCTCCACCCCGGTTTTTTTTTTACAAACCCTTAGGCCAAAAAAGGCTCCGGTTTCTGGTATGGAGCTTGCCCCCAAAGTGGTGCGGCGACGCGGCTTTTTTTTTTTTACCCTGGTTTTTTTTTCAAATGTCGGCTGATGACTGCAAATGGTGCCCGACTAAACTTAGTGCGACTATATAGGAGTCCAGAGAGGCCACATAAAGCTTATTTTCGATCATAACCCCATCTAAAAACACGTTAATATTGTGCAGCAGCAGGATTCCAGTCAAATCAGTGAGTTTGGCGATTTTGAGACATCATCTGTTATTGAAAAAAAAAAATCTTTTTGCCGACGCGCATGGCTACGGCGACGCGCGCGCATACCAGAAACCGGAGACTTTTTTTGGCCTCAAGTTCATGACCACACAATTCTTTAAAAGCACAAAACTTGAGGGGGTGCAAATCGTGATTTGGCCCGCGTTGGCATTTCGGCCTATTTACTGGCCTGCAACCTAAAGTCGGCACTTCAAAGGGTTATAGAGCACGAAATGTTTCCATATGAATAACAAAACCAGGCATTTAACCAGAATGTCACATACAAATATTCCTGTTGCATGCTACTACTTTCCGTTTACTTCCTTTATACTTCATTTTAATATTTGCTAAAATGTTTTTTTTTTATTTTGCTTGTAGCGTTAGTTTAGGGGCCATTCATAATTTTCAATGTTTTAAAATTTCGACTATTTTTCCAAATTGTGGGTGGGTGGGTCAAGCTAAATATTTGAAATTCGAAATTCACTTTTCATGGGAAAAAAAGAGCCAAAAAAAAATTGATCTTTTGACTTGCCTGAACTACGCGCAAGCGTTCCGATATTGCGATGCGTGTTTCTTTTCCAACTTCGTCCCCTGTATGTTCTGTACATTTTTTTCCGAAAGGACACGCAACCCGCACAGGCTCGCCAGTGGGATGTAATGCATGTACATGTACATGTTTTTTTTATGCCTAACAAATCAGTTTTTTATTAATCGAAATTAGGGGTGGGTGGGTGGGTCAAAATAATTTGGAAAAAAAGTCGAAATTTTAAAACATTGAAAATTCTGAATGGCCCCTTATGTGATAGGGATTGATTTGGTATCCCAAACGCTACAAAAGCAAAACAAACGTTTCACGGTCCGATGTTGCTGCAGGTTTTGTTTACGTTTAACAGTTTCTCTTTTGGACACAAACTTTGAGCAGGGATGTAACAACGGTACCATTATGCGCTGCACACGTGCCAAAAATAAATAAAGTGACAAAAAATGAAAGCAAAACTGTCAGCGATGCACATATTGGTCATGATAATAACCACAGAAAAACATACCAGAGGAAATTACTATACACAGTATTTAAAAATGGCGATGACCAAATTAATCGCATCTTTTACCGTCATATTTGGAGCCATTTTGCTCGGTGAGTTTGTTATTCTTCTTTCCTTTTGAAATGCTGTAAACTGTCAAAGTAGTTTGTTATTAACCAATCATTTCGCTTCTTTCTGGCCCTCGTGATTGAGAATTAAACCCATCTACTGTCAAGCCGGAAGTAAAAGGCTTATGAAGGCATCGTATCACAAAACAATATTTTGTTATTGTGAACTGGACATGCCGGCATTTTAGACCTGTGAGATTGCAGTTTAGAAGACAATGAGTTTGTGTCAGATGAAACTGCTGCACAAGATCTTAACATCGCAGGACCGGATTAGGTGTTCCGTTGGCCCTACTCCATTCTATCCTAGGCACCAGTTGTTCATGCTGGTGCTAAGCTGTACTGAGCAAGCCAGACCACATTGTATATAAACATGTTCGTGGGTCCTAGTGTTCGTAGGCCCCGAATCTTTTGTCACAGTGCCCACTATGCATATTTGATGATCCGAGCCTCATGGGTGCAAACCGGTAAATAATGGGCCCGAAAATGCCTACGCCGGCCAAGTCACGATTTTGCGTGCCCTCCAATTCTCCAGTATTAGAGCATTTTGTGGGCTGTGAACTTGAGGATTTGTGAAAAAAGAAAGGTGGAAGTCGTGCAGAGGACTGCGAGCTTTTATTTCTGTGAAATTTGGATGAAATTAGGTCCTAAAATGGCTTTATTTAGCAATGGAGCGCAGGCATCTTTTTTCAAAACGGCGATGGGCAGTGTTGTAGTCGAGTACTTTTTGCCTAGTATCGAGTACTGCCGAGTACCTAGGTTGCCGAGAACGAGTACGAGTACGAGTACGAGTACTTGTGTTTCCGAGTATAAAAACAGGTCTCCGAGTACGAGTACTTGAACGTCTGAGTACGAGTACGAGTACGAGTACGAGTACTTGTACTTCCAAGTACGAGTACGACTACGAGGACTTGTATTCCGAGTACGAGTACGAGTACTAGTATTCCCGAATAGGCATTGGGTACAATGTGCTTGAAGCCTAAAATTATGTGTTCTGTTAATCGCGTGATGCAACTTAGGGTTCGTCTTTGTAAGCTTTTTCAATTATTTGAAATTAATTTGTTTTTTAAATCGGCAACAGCAGTCTCAAATCAATGTAAATATATTTTTCAAGGAAATGCTACACCGCTAACTGAGATACAGACGTGAAAGTTCAGGGCAACTGTCATTTAATAAAATTATTCTAGCCTACAGTGTTGTGCATTTGATTTTTGATATTATTATTTTTTTCATGTATTTTCGGGTCCTTTGATTTCTCAGACTAAAAAAAGAAAGAAAGTACAACAAGCATTAAGATGGCTGCGTCAAGATTTCTTCACATGGTGTTTCTTCCTCATTTTACGCGTGATGAAGTTTGGAGTTGTCCCGTATGTTTTTGATATGCGACGCGAACAGCACAAAACATGCACGCGGCACTTTGGCGTTTCACGCCGTTTTGGACAAATTTTCTGTGTTCCTTGAACCCAAACTTCACAACAGTGGACACAGACGACATGATACATGCATTTTGGGGTTCTTTGAACGATTAGCTTATGCAATTTGGGTACAAAAAAAAGTGAAAAGTGCCACACAGGCAAGTGTAACCGAACGTCGACGGTACATGTACACCTACAAAGTACATATGAATGCAACGTGCATTCAAAAAAAAAAAAAAAACCCAGCAGATTCGCGTTTCTTGGTGTCTACGCATTTAGCCTGCTTCCCATTCCTAGGCCTCTGTTTAATAAGGCTAAGCCGCTGTGGACCTGCTGAACCAGACCAGGGGCCGTTTTTCAACCCTCGGCTTCGGATGTGTCTCTTTCTCCATTCACGCAGATTGGCAATGGGGCTGGACCCGTATTATAGGACCGAAACCGGGGCTCAGCAAACGGCTTTGCCCCAATCACCCAAGTTAATCGTACGACCATTTCAGGAACACCCCGTGGCGCACAGTGTGTACAATGATTGGCCATTGCGCCCACATACAGCAAATAGGTCATTGTCGGTAATTGGCCCTGGCCCTGTCAGACCTTTATACAGACCCGGTCACTGTTAGCTGTTCGTTGTGTTTATACGGACGTGCGAAGAAGAGAGAAAATTTCGAGTCTCCGCAATCGACCATTTGAAACTGAAAGTATCGATAAAATAAGGTCGTGATAACGTAAGTGATATACTATATTTTATCGAGTACCACTATTCGAGTACGAGTACTTTGATGATCGAGTACAATTTTGACATTTGCCAGTACGAGTACGAGTACGAGTATCGTCTTATCGAGGACGAGTACTTTGACATTCGAGTACGAGTACGAGTACTCAAAAAAGTACTCGAGTAGTACCGAATACGAGTACCGAGTACGAGTACTACAACACTGGCGATGGGCTCTTTGACTGCTTTTAGGGGTGATCATCTTTGGATGAAATTCTTTCCCAAAAGTCTTTGGTTAACCCCCCCCCCCCCACCAAAAAAAAGTGTACAGGAAATAAAAGATAATGAAATAAGCTTTAATTTGATGTGTTTAAACACCTTGCACCTTGTGAGTATTTATAATAATTTTGGGAACTGCGCGTCATTATCACTGAAGGCTATGGCAGTCTGGTCTACTGGTTTACTGGTCTACTCTATTTCTGGTCTACAACCTGATATCACCAGTGCATTTGTTATTAATTTGTACTCCATTTTTGTTCTAGTGCGTTCTGAGGACGTGAGTTTGTCGAGAACGAGTCGTTACGAACTGGAGGGCCGTACAACCTCGTTCGCATGTATCGTCACGAGAGATGATATGGGCGAAGACAGTAAATACCACATCATTTGGAGTCTGGGCACCAGCGAGATCAGTAATTCGACGAGTGACTTGCTCCATGTTACCCTGCACAGGAACATGTCGGGTGCAGTCCTGGTGTGTCAGGTGTTCTCGCCTAGCTTCAATTTCAAAAAAGCGACATGGACACTTGACGTCATGTGTAAGTTGCCTTTAGATATGCATTTCCCCGTGATATGTTTTCGAGTTTCACCTCGAAAAAAATATATATTTTCCAATTGCTATTTTCTTTGCAATATTAAAGTTATTCACTTTTGAATGAAACATCGAAAGAAAAAAATATCCATCACCGACGTTCAGTTATTGAATTAGTTCTCCACAAACTTCGAATTATCCGGGTTTCCAAGCCAATGATTCGGCTCTCGCAGGGTGAGTTCATTTGTGTGCACTGAATAATGTACGTTAGATATGTTGGTTTTAAAGACAATGATGATTTTCAACGATTGATTCGACCAAAACTATAAAAAAAAAAATCATCCCATTTCAGATCCACCAAATGGCGTGACTCTAGATGTGAACTCTACCCACTCTTGCGAGAGTGACTCGATGTGTAGCGCCGATGTCACGGTCGGGCGTTACTACCGTTTCACCTGCAATGCCTCCGGTTCGAATCCCGCCAGTAACATCACCTGGCTGATCAACACCAAGGGCAGATGGGGAACAACTCAGAGAGAGATTCCCGCGGATAGGAGCCGGTGTCGCCAAGCTGAGACCGACACGGACTGGGATACTTCGAGCCATATCAACCTTCAGATACTCCTGGAAGATCGACACGGCAGCGTCGCGTGCAGGGTGATGTTCCTCGACGCAAGTACGGTGTTCAGAGAGATCGTAATGACACTGCAGGTCGTGGAGCCCGTGGAAGAACCCCGTGAGTATTATCAAAGGTTCCATGAGATGACTTTTCTTATGAACACATGTCGTGCAACTTTCTACTCCTTTTCTAAAATGCTTGAAAACTGTAAGACATCCCTTTTGGTTACTTTGATTGAAAAGTGCACTTCTTGAAATATTTAAAAATTGTCCATTGCCTTTCCAGACAACTGAGAGCGCTGCTGCTGTGATGTCATTTTAGGAAGGCACTGTTCAATTGAGGGGGTTTCTGTGCAAATTTTGAACCCCAAAAATGTGCTCATTGCTCACAAGTGACAGCCAGTCAGTCAATGAGTCATCAGTCGGTGAGATGGCTGTACAGAGAAGACACTCACTGGGCGCAAACAATACGATTCTAACAAATCGCAAAATACGATTTTACCTAGGAAATAGGCCTAAAGTTCCTCTGCCAGAAAACCCGGAGCTGGCGAAATGGGTGATGGTTGCCTGCATCCCAACGGCGGCGATTATTACTGCTTGTGTAATTGGCATGGTGATTGCTCGAAAACTCAAACATCAATCGGCACCGCGCCAGCCACGCCCACAAGCAGATGCAACTCCGCCATCTTCTCCTAAAGAGGTAAATTTAATAAAGGGTCATCTGAACATTTTTCGTCACTATGTAAATACGTTAATCCGGAGGCCGCAGGTTAGAATTCTCATCCAGAAAATATCTCTGTTCAATTTCACAATCATTTTTAGTCATCGAAACATGTCAACTCAATTAATAGCAGGAAATGGTCGTATAACCCACACGGAGGAGACTGAGGTGAATATAGATTCTTTCTGCAATCTCGAAGTCTCGATAATCGACATTTGCCAGATCTAACCACCTAACCACACCGCCACTTGCTATGATCTCAGATCATGCTTGCGCTAAGTGTTATAGTCTTCTAATAGGCTATAAGCGCCCTGAACGAAGGCATATAACATTATATCATTGCAGATTTTACAACTCATCCAATGACATGTTTCATCGCACAATCGAAAATTGCGAAACAAAGTGTGAACAATCATCGATTTCGTTTTACGTTTCAAATGAGTAGGCAGGCCTTAGGACTTCAGTGTTTAAGTACACTTTTGCTTACCCTGGCCGGTTTGGAATGTTTTATTGTCCTTGTTTTCTGTTCCTCTATCTCCTCTCTCCTTTCAAACTGTCCACCCTCTCCCCCCCCCCCCCCGGCCCATTCCTTCTCGCATCCTTCAGTCCCATCAGTCTTGTCTGGTTATATAATTTTCCAATTTCCAGTTTTCGTTTACTTTATGATATATATTTGCTCATGCCATTGTACTATAGTTCATTTGTTGGCCGAGTAAATAATAAGAATAATAATAAATAACCAAACCAATAGTGTTGCACATTAGTTACGTTTTACGCTGATGATAATATCACGAGTAAAAGTGAAAGAGGAGAACTTAATTTGAAAAGTATATATTTCCTGTTTCAATTTTTTTGTTTTTGTTATTATTCATTTTTTGAATGAACCCAGGGGGAGAGTCACGTGTCAGAAGATGAGGGTTTGTATCAGGAGTTGCCAGTGATTCACGACCAACAAACAGAACGATCAAGTCCAGACCAGAACACCCCCCTTTATCACACCACCATCAACTAAGACTTCTGTCAAAGGAAAAAAAACCAGTTTATTTTCGGTGTTTAACAACAATGTATATGTTGGAGTTGTTTGCTCGTTGGTCCCTGAAGTACTATATCAAGTAAAATGTAGAAACAGAGATATCTCTAATTTGTTAAATTTGCGCGCCATAGCAAACGGTTAAAAAGTAAACTATAAACTGCTGTAGTACATAGGGGGAGATAACCAAATTGTTCCCTTTTTTCCTGTTGTATGTGCATGGTACTGTGGTAACAATCCGCGAAGGAGGTTGTTTTCATCGACGTTGGTTGGTTGGTTTGTTTGTGAACAAGATAACTCAAAAAGTTTCGGATGAATTTTGATGAAAACAACTTTAGGGGGTTCAAGTACAAATCGATTAGATTTTGGAAGTGATCTGGATCTGAATCTTTTTTTGGGGGGGGGGAAAGGATTCCTCACCTTTTTGTATTTGCAAATGTGCTATAGATCATGACAATTTACGGCCTTAATGTAAACAGTCACGCACAGTCAACCAGGGTGACCGTATGGAAATGGCACAATTCTGCCAGATGCACTTGACAAAATCTGCTAGTTTCTCTTTTTTAAAGGTACTATGAGAAATGCTGTTCACATTTTGAGTGTCGATAACATTATGAAATGTAAGTCGAGTGGATATGCCAGTAATTCTTTTGGGTGTACTGACAATATGGCGGGGAATTGATTGTGGAGGTTTGAGCTCTTTGAGTGCCTTCTAGTTAATAATAGTGGGACTTTAACGAAGTTGGACCCGGTTGAAAGAATCTAGACCGATGCTGAATAATTGTTCAACCCAATTGGCAGAATCCAGTCCATGTCGTATTGGGAGTAGGCCTACTGCAGTGTAGCCAAGGGAAGAGTTATTGGTTTGGTCTAGCAGGGAACTCCTCATGTGGCCGAAGGCTACTTATAGTTAATAAATATTGATGTGAAGCGAGTGGACACGGAGAGATGACTAGATTTGATTAATTTATTCGGATGAATCTATACAAAATATACAGTTGTGGCTCTCTCGAATATATATACAAAAAAACGACAGTCAAATGGGTATACAGTTGTACGTCTGTGGAATTAAAGAAAACAAAAATGGACATCTCATTAGTTTGTTATCATTTAAAAATACATGTACATAGCAATTCAATTCAGCATTTACAGCTTAGCTCCGCAATGTAAATACGTTAATTTATCTGTAACAATTGTACCATATAATCCTAAAAGAGGTTCAATATATTTTCTTATCAAAGCTCCAAGGATATGCAATAAATGCATTATAAAATCCCAAATCCATCCATTAATAATAGGCCAGCGAATAATTATTATTGTCAGAGTCCGTGTCCTTTAGGACACACCGTAGTGTTTATGCAAAACCGTGATTCCATCATGTCTATTTATATCACATGTGGCTTGCCATCTTATAATGCGCTGTGCGAAACGGTCCTTTTCGGGTCCGCCACCAAACGTGTAGGTAGTTAGATTAAATCGTGTCCCAAACTCTAACTATTAAGGATAAATTTGCTAGATATATTACATAATTACTATGCCATATTCTCTCATTATCATCCCTGTTTCCATTGTGCAAATCTCAAGTCCATGTGCTGAATCAAAAAAGGGTAATTTGGGATTCATTTATCGTATCAATCTGGTGAAAACGTTTGCGGGTAAAGCACATGGTTGTATACAACGACTGTTTCATGTCGGGTACATAAAGTTACTGTTGCATGTTTTAATCTTAGCTTTTGCTGATAAAATTGGAAAAACTTCAACATCCAGGAATTTAATTATTTAACTAAAGCTATTTGGAATGTGTACATATATTTGTAAAACTTGCCATCGTGGAAACTGGTTGTCATCCATTTAATTTTTCCTTGCTTAACAAAATCCAATCAGTTACAAAACTAATAAGATAATTCTAACATTTAAACTAATATTTGGCGGAGCCTCATGGTGCAAAATACTGCCCATGGTCTCTGAAACAGTGCTTTAGTTTACTTAAGCATCAGGTAATAAGAGAAACTTGAAGAAGCACGTTCTACTTTAGTTATTGCTTTACATTTCTTGCTAATTCACCTTACAATTATGGCCAATTATGCCTAAAGCTGGTGGGTAAAGGTGATATTTTATAGCATGTATTCTCTTTAATATCGAGAACACTTCTCTTTCAAGCATCATTACAATTGAAGAGAATCAAACCCTTTGTATTATGTGAAAATCTATCCATAGTATCTTTACACAAGGCTTCTACAAAATTTACAATAAAAATTGAAAAGAAAGATATAAAAATTAGGTGTGTACTCACCGCCTAGGCTGAACAACGGTCGTGCCACCACCAAACGAAGGGGAAATTGTCCCCAACTAGCTGTAGTTGAGCTATAATCAGAGCACTTCTAAATTGTAGGTGTGGTCTGAGCAAGTGGATGAGTGTCTCTAGCAATGCCTTGTCATTACACGAAAGCTAAGTTATGCAGCACGCAATGCAGCTCAGAAAGTGTTAACAATATTCTGGAATGCAAGGTATGTTGGAATGTTCCTGGCCAATGTAGCTAGTTATGCTAGAATGTGATTGCAGGAAAGTTAAGGAACCAAGCGAGGGCGTTGCAATAAAAAGTTTCTGTAACTACAGAGGGCGCTAATTATGTTATCAAAATAATGGCTCATCATATTGTACAGCCTATGTACTATGCTTATGATTATATTAGAAATGTTACCGAGACCTGTCTGTTGTAAAACACGACAGGTCACACTCACCCCCTAATTTAAAAAAAAAAAGAAAACTATACGAGGAATAAGTAGACTATGAGGAATAAGTAGCAGTAGTTAGATGGTAGTATGTACAAGTTCAAGTTTCTGCCTCTACAAATGCCAACTTATCCTAGAATCTTCCTAGAGGATACTGCATGGTGAATACCTAGTGATCAATATCAATTAGAAATATCTTGTAGTCCAGACTCAGTATATCACTAAGAGCGAGTTGACCTCATGGACTAATATAAAGATGTTCTAAATATCACAATAAAGATGATAAACTAGGCTACTATTCAAACCAAATGTCCCCTAGTATGATAGAACTATCTAGGAGGGTATTATACAAAACAGTCCAACCTAGGATGTCCCTAGAAACGAGTTAACCTCAATGCACTGATGAAACCTTCTAGTCATTCTGCGAATAGGGCATGTAAACGGCTGATAAGAAACTTGACAATACCTACAATTTGCTAATTAAACTGACAATGCGGTCACATCTAAATATGCGAAGTAACCTCGACACTATGGCCTTATTTAAATTTACTTCAATCTACCCTTGATTAAAGCTAATTTATAAATGTATGTTAAAAATATGTACAAACTTCATAACTAAACCACTGTAGTCAACCATCCAATGACTTCATGAACGTTACAACATCAACAATTCTCATCCTGTGTCGCCAACACCACTGAAAACATGGCTGGATCAATATGACAAGGATACATGATGGAAATAGCCAGAGTAAATGAAAATATCCAACTATTTGTCCAATGTTAATTGCTACAAGAAGGATCACAAGAAAGATCAATAGCAATATTATTTGTCTGTTGCTATCAAATGCGATATGTTGGCGATTCAAGACTGAGCGTGGTTCACGATGTGGATTACTGTGTTGACCCTTTGTAGTTCGTCGAGATCGACGCAATGCAACTGGAGGTCGTTGTGGAAGTTGACGTCTCAATGAAGGCTTTGGAGGGGGTCTTGCCTCAGGATCTGGGGCAACCGGTCTATCTGGCAAAAGTGCTGAATTAGCACACTCTCAAACTGACGACCCTGATCAGAATGAATACGTCGAGGAACCCCATATTTCATGAACCACTCTTTGACTAATGCAGCAGCTGTAGTCCTTGCAGTTTGATCCTTTGTTGGAACAGCTACAGTGAACTTTGTAAAAATATCCGTGATCACCAAGACATTTTCTGTATGGTCTGTGGATGGTTCTAACAATGTGAAATCAATAGCAATGATCTCCAAAGGCTTTGAGGCGACCAAATGTCCCAGAGGATTTCTCACAGTTGGTGTAGGTAGTTTGGCAACCGAGCAGCGCTCACACTCATGAACCCATTTCTTCACATCACGGTACATATGCGGCCAATAACAACGACGACGAACCAATGACATTGTTCTCTCTTCTCCTTGGTGCCCAAAGTCATTATGTAAGCTTGTAAGAATTCTCGACTTGAGTGATGAAGGCAGAACTAGCTGATGTAGTGGACCAAGTTTAGGATCCGTTACCTCCCTGTACAAAACACCATTTCGAAGTGAAAGATGTTTAGTCTGTCTCAAAAGAACTTTTACAGCGGACGATTCTGTTTTCCTACTGGCTTTATCTGCGTCTTTGGAGTTGTGGTAACCTAAGTAGCGGTGTATGTCTGGATCAACTTCCTGTAATTTGATCAGTTCGGAATTTGACAAAGATGGAAAGGCAGATATAGTGGAGCCAATTTCTGCTTGAATTCGCATTGGACCAAGGTCAACGACATTCTCCGACATTTTCACCTGCAAATCCACTGGCAAAGGAGTGAAGGGAAACTGAGCATTTCCACTTATTGCTACCATTTCAGAAATTGTGCAGCTGTCTTCAGTTTCTATCGAGCACTGTCGAGATAAGCCGTCAGCATTTCGATTGGCACGACCAGGACGATAGACTATATTAAAATCAAATGGTGCCAGACTTGAAACCCATCTCTGTTCTGTTGCTCCAAGTTTTGCTGTGCTAAGGTGACTCAAAGGATTGTTGTCGGTTCTAACAGTGAAAGTAGATCCATATAGGTAGTCTTTGAACTTCTCTGTTATGGCCCATTTTAGTCCCATCATTTCCAGTTTTCTTGAGCTGTAGTTTTCCATCTTTTTCTCGTTTTCTCGAAGAGAACGACTCGCATACGCTATGACCTTTTCCTGATTGTCCTGGATCTGAGATAACACAGCACCTAACCCACTCAGACTAGCATCTACATCCAAA